CCGCCAATCCAGAGAGTCCAGATAAAGTATCGTCCTTCTATCACGCGTCATAACCGCGCCCGGATTAGATCGATATTGCGCAGACATCGCGTCGTGCTTGTCTGATTGGATTGGCTATCCGATGGGAAATTTCCAAAGGGAGCCCTAAAAATAAATCAAACGCGGTTCGAAAGTGTCGCTCTAAAAATTCTAGAAATTCCGCGACATCGATATCGACATGATGCTTATTATTAATCAATATATATATAATCTGCAATTATAACTTTAATAGTCGTTATGATCGATTATGACCGCATCAGCTTTCGTTGATGATTTAAGTCTTCGATGACGTATGTGATCCACGATATCAATGATTCCAAAGGTCCAACGATTGAATTATTTTCTCGATATAATCTTCAGATATAGATTTCCTTAATCAAACGCGACGATTGGATTCTTGCGATATCCAGCTTACAACTGGTCTTACAACTCTAGGGAGATAGTAACACGCGGCGCGATAGAATCAACAAGTGGATCCAGCGACAAGTCATTGTCCGAATCGATCGCGAGGGCACGAAAGCGACGTGCGAGAGAAACAGGAATAAGAACTTCCTCTCTCGCGGCGCGAATCGCACGCGCGGATTCCCACGGTGCGGAGATAAGGCACAGGCGGGAGATAAAGAGAGATGTGAAGGGGAAACGGAGAGGAGAAAAAAAAATGAGGAAGGAGAAGAATGATGAGAAGAAAGAGAGAGAGAGAGAGAGAGAGAGAGAGAGAAATGACGGAGGAAAGAAAAGGTAGGCGAGCGGAGAGAGAAGGAGAGCTCGGCGAGGACGATGTGGGAAAAGAGGAAGCTAATCAGAAGCGGAAGTACGCTCTGGCGAGGCCCGAGGCCTTGAGAAGGCGTACAGTCAGCCTAGCTTTTAGCTCTCTTAATTGCAACTTTATTTAACACGCCGGTTCGGCCAATCCACGGCGGGAACGCGCTGTCTTAATAAGCGTCCTATCGCGTATGCGAGGAAGAAACGTCTGAGAAAGCAACGGACGCGAACCGTGGATGATAGAAAAGCCTCAAAGTGAAATACACCCAGAAAAGTGCATTGTCTTTCTTCGACCTGAATCGCAGTCGACGTAGATACGAGTCGCATGCCACTATTTTATCAAACTATTAATGGCTATCTGTAATTAATATATATGATATATTTTATATAAATTATAATTATCGTCACATGTAACTGTAATTTCAATTGTTGACAGAAAACTGGATCGCGCGAGTTTATACCGTCTTTATTTTGAAAATAAACGATTAAAATCGATAAGAGGTTCACGAATATCCAATTAGAACTTGATGCGACTGTTATCTCGATTGCATTTATCTCGCAATATTCACGTTAATGACATCGATAATAGCGAAATAATTGCGATAATAGCGAAATAATTTTCAATACAGTCATTGACGAATAATTGCGATATCTTTGCGTATTATGGCATTCTTTCTATTTATTAACGAGTCATTTCTCTTAAAGATGAGTAGAAATTTCGATACGATTAAATCGATCCGATAGATTGCCCATCATTGATGAGAATTGTTTAAGTCAATTTATTTAGCGTGAATTGGATATGATTCATTTCCTGATTCGCTCCCATTTACTACGTCAGATATCGACCGATTGATATCAAGGCGTATTAAATGCGCGTTACACCTCGTATTCGATAATATCGCAAATCATAAAGTCATCCGTTATCTCATTAATTAATTGTATCAATCTCGTAATCCCTTCCTATCTCGTTGCCGATTAATTTCATTTAGAAGCAAATCAATTTCCCGAAAAATGTTGAATGATGCAAACGATATAGCGATATAATTTTGAAAAATAACAGCCTTTATATATCTATTAAATTTGCGACTATAAATGATTGCTTTCGCAATTACAGAGAAGTCTTTTAAATTCAATATCATTATTTTTTCCGAATAACGTAGGCATGAATCCATCGAAATGTTATACGCAATATTTAAAATATCTCTTTCAATTAGCACGTATCGATGCGAATGGATATTAATTACTTATAATCCTTGCTCGTTAGAGTTTGCAGAGAAGTTTTTGCTCATCTTTTTTCACGGCTACATAATGTGGTAATTGCACGTCGCGCTAATCATTCGCGAAAATGACTTCGGTAAATTTGAGGAGAGTGACGATGTGGAAGGTATTCGATGGCGCGAATAACGATCGTCGAATCGTTTTGTGCCGTGCGTTAAATGATTTGGCCATAAATCTTTGTTGCGAATTAGGTCCCCGATGTGTAGATTACCCAAATCGAATAGAATAGCAAATATTAACAATAATAAAAAAAAAAAATATTGCGATTTACGTTAAATGCCCGTAAACATTGATTATCAGCTGTTATTGCCAACGTTATTGCCAATTTTTAATCGAATAAGAAAGTTTGCTTCAATTTCTTCTTGAATTTTAATCGAGATGATTTTTTTAATATAAAGTTGGAATCTTTTTGTATAAAATAATGCTAGAAGAGATAGAATAAAAAAACAAAATTCACAAGACGAGAAATTGTGGTTTCAAAATGATTTGCATATATGTAAAAAATAACGTGGAATAAATAAATTTTGAGCTATAAAAAAGACGCAAAAAAAAAACTCTAATAAGAAACTAAAATTTCTATAGTAAAAATATATTTTTTTAAATAACATCTAAATAATTTATGTATATGTTGCTAACGTGTATTTTGAAAAAAGAAAATTTGCACGCGTCAGGACTGTTGTGTTTACCGAATATGCTTTTTTACAGCACGATTATTTTCGCTACAAAATAAAGAAACATGGGCAACGCAAAAAGTAGAAGAAATCCGGAATTTCAACTGGTTCACCTTTTCAGAATCCGGCGATGATTTCTGTTGCATTCGCGGTATATATTCAATGCGTACGTGTCTCTATGTGCACTACGTAAGATCGAGCGCCGTACTCTCGCGTCTCTGACAGATAATGGCAAGATGAATGCGAAATGGCGAACGCAAAGGCACCTTTCGATACGCGACCTTGAATAGAGATCGCTTTTTCTCTCCGATTCGTCATTCCGCGCCATTGATGACCGCATTGGTTTCGCGCGAAGAGCGGTGCTCGTCGTTTCTTCCTTTTTTTTTCTTTTTTTTTTCTCTTTAAAAACGATTACACAACTCGTCTATAATAATCCGCGACTCCATGGTGCCGCCACTATGAACTTGAATTATTATGCTCGAAAGAAGTTTTCTCGCGAGAGAGTTTATAGCTCGTTATAAGCTGCGTATGATATTAAGCGCGCTTTATTCACGTCGCTGTGATAGTCGGCTTTACTCACGTTTCCTGTTTTTCTTGCTTTCCTGTTTTTCAAGATATCTTTAAATAAAACAGCTGACTCTCAAAATTTCTACGAATCTGATCGAATTGATGAGCAGAAGGATTAATATGACATGTTTATTTGTCAAGAATGCACTCGGCATACATTCGTTTATTATTCACACTTTTTATTTGCATTATAATAAATATTCTTTTTTTTTTAACTGCGCACCAATATCGAATAATTTATCTCTTTCTCGCGTATCGAGTTATGCGAACAAACAGCCTTTTCTGCGATCGTATATGTGCATTATGTTTATGTCTGACATATACGTTTTTCGTGAAATCTTAGAATTACACGAAATAAATATCCGCGCGACAAGCGAAAATTTGCGTTTGGTTGGCTCAACGAATATAATTATTGCTCGGCACTTAAGCTCGGAGCTTTAAGTGGACAAAAATAATATTTTTTTTCTCTTCTTTTTAAGAAGCAATAACTATGTCACTTGTGTGCTCGATGGCATAACAGCACCGATCATATTTTCCCATTGTCGGCGTGGTTCGCCGCAATCCATCTACCTGTCCCTCGCGGCGCGTTAGGTCTTGCCATCTCGTTTTTGCTACCAATTACGTCGTCGCATTAATTTACACTGTCTATCTCTTGCATCCAATCGCGAATCAAAATTCAAGCGAGTTCGACCGGATTGTCGCGGGACAATTGCCTCATTATCGCCCGCAATTTTATCCTTTTGGATGGCAATAAGTCATTTTGCGGCGATAAGTCGCCAAAGACTTGACGAAAGATTGAACGTCGTCCCTGAATACAAACGGAAATCCAGTACACATGTCAGTGGAAACGAAAAGAATCGCTATCGTCGTGTATTTCGCGTAACTAAGCGTCGATTGTCGTCGCATGGATCGATATCTGTATCTTTTCACTTTATCCTATCATATCCGTAAAAGTGGCTGCAAACATTTTCCAACGCTCATGTCAACATTACATCATCGATCATCCTTAACTCAGGCTCGAGCTAGCAGCGCGAAAGTCACCTACTATCGAAATATCGGGTGCAATAACAGAGAGAAAGATCCAATCGAGAGCATTTAACCCGAGAGAATTATCTTTAACGAAATTTATCTTTAATTACTCTCTTTCACTCTATTCGATCCATCTCTTTGTGGCATCAAAACATTATGCACCATGATACAATTTGCCTTTAAACCTTCATCTGAACGATATGTTCGAAATTGTTCGACTCGCCAGAAAACAACAATGAAATTGACATGTTCACCGCCGCATATATCGCCAGCGGTACACGACCGGCGTGAGAAAATAAAACTTATAGTGTACCGGCGGTTTACCTGCACTTGTCGATGCGGTACAAGACATTTACAGCACCTGTCGATTGTTTACATAAAGTTTGGCCGCCGATACAAGCGTAAAACATATCGCTGACGTGAGAAATACGGCGATGCATGTGGCGGCAAACGTGCTAATTTCTCAATCGTCTTATGCAATGCAGACTTTACTCGAGAATCTATCAGGGCGATCGCGTAATTAACACGATGAGAAGATGCATCAGCTGACATCGGTTCGATATTTATAAAAAAAAATAGATTCTTGAGGAGAAAGAAGGAATTTGATGTAATCATCAACGTACCCGTAAGAGTTAGGTAGTTCATGTTTCTCACCTTACGCTTTTTCTGCTGCTATCCAACGTGCGATCGGTATCCAGGATGAGCGACGCGACGCGTTATATATATATATATATCCCTCGGGATTATCTCGTGGAATCACGTGGAGGCATCCTCCTTGCGAGCCGGCGACGACGAGCCGAGATCCCGTGACAGCGGCAACGTGAACGACGCTGTGGACACGTGACGTACATTGATACTCCACGGCATGGATCACCCACTGAGAGCACGAGAGAAAACAGATCAGTAGCAACAACGTCGAACGAGAAAGAGAAACTCAAGCACGAAAGGTACTCCAATTCGGATTGTCGAGAAAAATCGGCGACACTTTATGTATCACACTTTGCACTTGGTTCTTCGGCGAAAAATCAAAGGAGAATTAATCTCGAGATCCAGTTGGACGAGATCGTCGGATTTTTGTTGACCCTCGGCTGATTCCTTCGCGGTCAGCTGTTTCCTCCGATCCACCTCGTCGTCGCGTTCCGTTCGGCCTCTCTTTCGAACGCGCGCTCGCGCGATGTCACACACACGTGGTACGCGCAACGCGCGTCGTACCCGATAAATGGATTGCGCGGAACGAGCAGATTCTTGAGGACGACCCTTCCGCGATGACGTTTCCCCTCGACGAAGGGCAACGGCAACGATAACGACGACGATGACGGTGAGCGAAGAACTTTTTTCGCGAAGTCTGCTCCGTTGACTGTCCAGGGTCAACCGGCTGGCTCTCTGCGCGCGGCACTTTTACTCGTTGGGTACTCTCAAGGACTCGGAGGTGGCTCCTATTCCTTTCTCTTATCCTTTCGCGCGCGCGCCTTTTTTATTCCGCTAACCTTTTTAAACGCGCTTTTAATTCTGTCTCGAGTCGCGCGTCCCCCCCGTGGTGGCGGTTCTCCGACGAATGCCTTTATCGCGAATTAGCAAATTTCCCGCGCGACAGAACGGACGACGGCGACGATGCTCTCCTTCGCGAATTCAATGTCGGTAACGATCGACGGGAGAGCGGTAGAGCGGAAAGCGAGCGGCTCTCGCCACATCCGGATCGTCTTTCAGACCCGTCCTACACGGTCCGTCTGCCCTCCGCCTCTTTCTCCTCGTTCCGAGAGAGCGAGCCCTCCGACTTCCTCCGGCCTTCCTCGTCCTCGTCGTCGAACCACGCGACGGTCGCGAGGACTCCCGTCCTCCGCGCGAGAGATCCGTGTCCTCCTCCTGCGGTTTTCCCGCACACGGGTGTCGTATCGCGGTATGTTCCTCTCCTTCTCCTCCTCCTCCTCTTCTTCCTCCTCCTCTTGCCCCTTGTCTCCCTCTCCGTCTTGGTCTGTCTCTCTCTTTCTTCGCTGTCCTTTTCCCTTCCGCGTCTCCCTTTCCGTCTGTTTGTCTCCTTTCTCTTCTGCGTGTTGTAATCCCTTTTGCGAAACTTCTTGCGCCCGGACGAGGCGGCGAGGTAAAAGCGAGCGCGCTGTCGATCGCGAACCGAGAGAGAAAGAGAGAGAGAGACAGGTTAAATTCGCACGCAAATTCCGCGCCGAGTCCTTCCACCGCGGTGGTGCTACCCAGTTGACGATGACAACGGCAATAACGATAATAATTATGATGACGACGATGATGATAATGATGATGACGTTGATAAAGACCGCTCTCTCCGCTAACTCCGGAAATGGAGGGATTACCGGTGGGATATGGCAACGACGGTGACCTTGAACACTCGCGTTTCGCCCTGGACGGAGTGAAACGCGCTATTACTTTCCATCGCTCGTTCTCGCGCTGTTACCACCGCGATTATGTACCTCGCGTTTTTCGACGACAACGACGGGACACCACGCGCGCAGATACACCACCTCCGCGAGCGAGCGCGCGAGCGAAATACCGCGCGAGCGTATTTCGCGAAGCAGCGGACTAGAAAACGTCGTTACGCAATCAACGGAGAGCGCCGTCCCTCTTCTCTCTTCACCTTGTTCTTTCCCTAGCACGCCCTCTCCGACTTCCACGGATAGATCCTCCACGTCCTCCGCGGCGTTTCTCGTCAAGGGCGTCCAAGAGGCGTCCGCGATTATGCGAATCCGGACGCGCAGACACACGTATATATCACACACACACACCCGCGCGCGAGCTCTCTCTCTCTTTCTCTCTCTCTTTCTTTCTCTCTTTCTGTCTTTCTCTCCTTCTCTACTTCTGTCTCTCTTTTCCGTCTATCTTTAGGAGAAAGAACACAGAAAAGTCACCGGAGAAAGACGAGTAGAAAGAGAGAGGCAAGAGATATTCGGCTGTGCCCGCAGCTTACGAGAGGCAGGATCGGATTTTAGCGCGCGCAGCACGCGCTCCCGCGAGCTCGAGTCACGGCGGTTTCAACTTTTACTTTCAGCTCTTACACAACGCGGCCCGCTCTTGCTGATACGTAAGCGGCGAGCGTGCGGCGAGTCCTGGTCTCCGCTTAGAGGCCTCTTCTGCTTCTTCTTCCTCTTCTTCCTCTTCCTCAATTTTCTCCCCTCGCTTCTTTTTT